ACAGTGAGGAAAGAGGAGGGGCATCATTAAATGAGGACATCATGGGTCTTTGGACAGAAGTTTGACCTGCACTTTAATAAGTCAGAAAATAGACTTTATCCTTGAAAAGATGGTAATCAAGCAATATTTATCAGAGTGGCTCCTTATCTTTGCCGTGATAAGAGGACGAGCACAGCAAAAGCTGGGTCATGAACAGAGAAAGCCTTTTCTTTGATCGTCAAAGTTCCTGAAATCTGATAGTGGCTAATAAATAACTTCACTTTCCAAAGGCCCATGACTAGTAACAGATTCCTTCCACTGTCAACACAATAAACATTTAGTAAATCAATATTTTACAGACTACTAATCCACATGTTGTTAACATCAGTAAGAGCTGTGTGGTGGGGCTGTCACTTTGAGTTCTTCATCAAGATATTTCTAAAGACTTTGTGCCAGAGTGAAATTTCATTTATCCCGGGACAAATGAAACTTATCCCGGGAGTGAACTAATGATTATTTTTTAAAGAAGAATTTTTAAAAAGTTAATATTCTGACAACTTTCAGCAAAACAAAGTGACAGCTCTGTAAATAAAACATGCATTTCCATGAATTTAATCAAAACTAAGAGTTAATTGATTTGAAACGTTACTGTTAACATGAATCATAAATCTAGAAGATTGTGACCAACGTAGCAAACACCAGAATCCTATGATTTCAGGTTTATGATTACTCCTGTGGGTCGTGAAGTCTTGCCCCAGCTCACTTCTTCAGAGTTAAAGAGGACCCAATGTTCTCTCTCATATTAAAGTTAAGGTTTACAGAAACGACTTGTTCATGTGACTTTATTTATCAGATGTAAGAACAACTGCAACGACTATGGTTGAAAAAAACCCTCTTTCAGGTCTAAGGTTTTATGCATGAGGACATAAAAAATCATCTGAGCAGGCTCTAAAATTAACAACAGCTTGTGGAAGAACGTAACAACTCGAAGTAATAATCTTTCTTTATGACTTTATCAGTCTCACATCATCGCGGAGGAATGTTGGCCAGTCGTCTTTACAGCATTGCTTCAGTGCACAGAGATTAGTGAGCATTTTTTAGATGCACGGCTCTCTTTAGGTCCCGCTGCAGTTCTTCAGTCATGTTCAGGCCAGGACTTGTCTTTTTCTGTTTTAATGACCAGTTTGCATGACCAAATTTAGATCATGTTTTGGTCATAGGACAGATGACCTCACGTCGGACTGTAGGATACTTCGACTGATCGACTGGTCGAGTGCAAGGTGCCCGGGTCCTGTGACTCAGAAAAAGAACCCAGCTCATCGCCCCTCCACCAGTGCTGACAGCTGGTATCAGCTGTTTGGTTTTCTCCAAACATGGCACTGCGCATTATGGCCAAATGCATCCACTTCAGTCCAAATGACATTGTTCCACAAGTTTGCTTGGTCAGACTGAACTTAAACCTGATCTGTCCTGCCATGTTCCTTCTAGAGAGCGGAGCCTTTCTCCTGGCTGCCCTTCCAAACACTACTTCTTTACTTTTTTGTACCATCATGAACTTTGCCATAAAAAGCTAACAGAGGCCTACAGAGTCTGGTCTTGTGTTTTTTTACAGTATCCTTGATCACATGCATATCTCTATAGAGCAGGGTTGGGGAACTCCAGGACTCGAGGGCCTGCAGGTTTTAGATGTGTCCTTGATCCAACACAGCTGATTCAAATGGCTAAATTACCTCCAGGATCTAAAACCTGCAGGACACCCTTAAATCCTGGAGTTCCCCACCCCTGCTATAGAGCTACTGACGCTTGCTGATGATCAATTAATCAGGTGCATCTGATTATCAGAATTAAGGTTAATTAAGGTTGTCCATCTGATGTTGTATTGAATGAGTTTAAACCTGTTAAGGATCCAATTATTTTTGTATTATGTCCTGATACAAAAAACCTAGAATTGACAGAGGGTGCACTTCCTTTATACTTGACTGTAGATGACTAATAAATAGGTCC